GGGTCGACTTTGTTATGCGATAATTTCACCAATGGCGTTGTCATGTTGGTAGGGGGTGCTGGATCGGCTTTGGCCCCCCACTTTCAAATTTGTTATAATTTTACACACTGAAAGAATGGCCTGTGGCCCCCTTGGACACTTTTGAGGCCCCTGCTCGCCCATTTTTTAGACACGCCACTGGTCATCCAGGAGTCAACGAATTTCAGATGGCCTGAATGAATTTTGAGCATGTATAGATGATGGCCCACTGTTATCGTCTTACCTTTGTTTTATAAACTCAGACAAACTCCGTTTCATGTTTTCATCTGTACAACACTCTAAAGGCGTTTTGTCGTTCACATTCTTCAGATCTGTCTTAGAGCCATTTTCTATCAAACACTTCGCTACTTTGATTTTCTTCTCGATATCAGAGCCTACTGATAGACCCATCATAGCAGCAAACTGAAATATTCAAAATGAGGTAACATAATGACTTAATATTATAATGCTTTTAATAAAAAAAAAATTAAAGGGATTGCAAAGAGGTTTTTTAAAAATTGTTTGTGTATCGGGAACTGTAACCACTTCAGATCAAGCCGTATTCTTTATTTTATCCGTACTTTTAACTCCCATATTTATGCTTATTAAGACTCTCTTGAAATCTTCAGCCAATCCTTAGTTTTTTAGATGTAAACAAAGCGCAATTTCTTCAATTTTCAATCAGATGACGTCACTAATCTAAACTTTAAACTAAAATAATGCTTTTTACAGCAGAGTGACTCGATAAGTAAAGAAAACCATTAAAATACTACTTTACGTTATAACAGAGCGACTTGTTCAGTAAAGAAAAACATAAGAAACACTGAACCTATAGTACATCGTTCAGTAAACAAAACCATAAAAACACTTCACGTTACAACAACAGAGTGACTCAGTCATTAGACAAAACTATGAAAACACTACGTAACGTTCTAACAGAGCGACTCGTTCATAAGACAAAACCACAAAACACTACGTAACGTTCCAACAGAGCGACTCGTTAAGACAAAACCACAAAACACTACGTAACGTTACAACAGAGGGACTCGTTCGTTAGACAAAACCACAAAACACTACGTAACGTTAACGTTCGAACAGACAGACTTGTTCAGACAAAACCACAAAACACTATTGTACGTTACAACAGACAGACTTGTTCAGACAAAACCACAAAACACTACTGTACGTAACAACAGAGGGACTCGTTCATAAGACAAAACCACAAAACACTATGTAACGTTCGAACAGAGAGACTTGTTCAGACAAAACCACAAAACACTACGTAACGTACCAACAGAGCGACTCGTTAAGACAAAACCACAACACACTACTGTACGTTACAACAGAGGGACTCGTTCATTAGACAAAACCACAAAACGCTACGTAACGTTCCAACAGAGAGACTTGTTCAGACAAAACCACAAAACACTACGTAACGTTCCAACAGAGTGACTCGTTCAGTAAACACAACTATAAAAGGCGATTTCCACAGCTATAGGTGGGTCAAAATGACCATTGATTGTTAAAATTTCAAACTTACAATTGGTTAAATACTTACTTGTTGACGAGTGCCACTACTTGCCTCATTACAACAGGTGTGCAGAGGGCTATTTTTCTTTCTGTCAACGGCATTGATATCGGCATCTGTAGCAGATGATAGAAAATAATATGAAAGTATTTATCTTCAGCAACATGACAATGTGGACCATTTTTTTTATGAAGATCCAATGCAATGAGTATTGTAACAGATATACCCAACCTTCCAGAATATCTGATGCCACACTGTCGGTTGGTATGTTTATCACGTGGTGCACAAACATTTCACTGTTGTAAAAGAAGTTTTTTTTTCTGTTT